CAGAGAAAGAGGGAATTACTCACCGACATATGTTTTGTGGACGGTGTATATAAATATAAGTAAAAATTATCCTAATGAATCCAACCTGAAAGCCATGAAAATTATATATATATATATATAGTCAGTACTAGATTAGCATCTAGATTCCATCATTTTACAATTGAAATTTGCTAGATATAACTGTACTTTTTATGCTGATCCTTTCTTCTCTCGCACCTCTCGCTAGTGGAAATCTCTGCCGGTTTCATACTTTCCACTTAATTTTGATCTTTATATACTTATATGCAATGTCAGGTGTTACCTTCTGTTTTCTTAATTCGTTTTCTTTTATTGTCCTCACTGCTTCATAAGTTTTTTCTTTTTCTTAGATTCTTTCACACTTAACCGCTTGCGTCTTAGTGATTTTATTGCATTTGCTTTGAGTGAAATGATTAAAGAAAAAATGTATTCAATCGATAGCTCTACACAACTCTTTTCTGATTATTGCGGTGTCATCCCTGAGTTAGTGTCCCATAATTTTAATGGTTTACCTCTTGTTCGTGCCCCATAATTTTAATGGTTTACCTCTTGTCCGTGTCCCATAATTTTAATGGTTTACTCATTGTCCGTGTCCCATAATTTTAATGGTTTACTCATTGTTCGTGTCCCATAATTTTAATGATTTACCTCTTGTTTGTGCCCCATAATTTTAATGGTATACCCCGTTTTCGTGTTCTATAATTTTAATGGTTTATCTCTTGTTCGTGTCCCATAATTTTAATGGTTTATCTCTTGTTCGTGTCCCATAATTTTAATGGTTTACCTCTTGTTCGAGTTCCATAATTTTAATTGTTTACCTCTTGTTCGTGGCTCATGATTTTAATGGTTTACCTCTTGTTCGTGCACCATAATTTTAATGGTTTACCTCTTGCTCGTATCCCCTAATTTTAATGGTTTGCCTCTTGTTCGTGTCACATAAGTTTAATGGTTTGCCTCTTGTACGTGTACCCTAATTCTATTGGTTTACCTCTTGTTTGTGTCTCTGCTACTGGCAAAATGCAACCGTCCACTATTGTCGAAGTTTCTTCTCAAAATCTTCTTCTATGTGCCATGTCCCTTTAAGACATGGACGATCAAGGCTATTCACAGCTTACTCTGCAGTTGCAGCTGTAAGTAAAAGTTGTCTCTTTACCATAATTTTCACTCCTCGTTCTCCCCTCCATTCACAAGAGCACGCAGATGTCATCCTTTTTTGACTTCGATATAGAATTTGAGTGTCAAAATTTTCTGATTCTCCGAGTCCTTTTTGTTTCCATTTCCCTCAAAACTTCCTAGTTCTTCACACGTTTCGTGCGTGGCATCCTTATCATCCTTCTGTAGAACCACAATTATTTTGCTTCAAGTTTTCTTTTCATCTGTGAGAAAATCGTCCAGCATCAACTGCTATGTGGGAGGATTAAGTGTACATAGTTCAACACTTTCTTTGTTTCTAATGAAATTGTCCCTGTTTCTTAATACTTTGCTTAACTTTTGGAAGACCTCTTTTGGCTATTCCAGTGCACCTTAAGCATTTGATATCGCATAATCCTTTATATGTTAAAACACTTCCCAGATATTAATACTTCTGTACCTGTTTGATGTTAACATCTTCAATTCATAGATTCTACCTTGAGCCTTTTCTTTTATTGACAACGATATAGCCATGTTTTCTTATAATTAGACCTTGAGATTTTTCTCTTGGTTTCTGGCAGTAGATGGTTAGTTCTTTCTTCTCACTTTCCTTTACTACCTTGTCTAGGTGATTCGGTAGTTTTCTGCCATTAATACATTGTCATCAGCATATCTTACATTGTTAAGATTAAGCTCATTGATAATAAATCCTAATAGGATTTTCACTTTCCATAAGTTAGCCTTACTGTAGAGAGGTGGAATAAATCTGAAAAGAAGAAACATCCTTGTCTTACACCCTTTTCTATTTTTGTATATCTAAACATTTCATTTTCTATCCATATGCAGAAAGTTTGCTCCCAATATAACCTTGATTATGTGGCTCATTAAAATGATTGTCCAATGGAGTTCTCATTCATTTGCACCTAGTTTCTTAGGTAATGCTATGAAGATGGATTAACTGAGGTCCTCTGGTATATTGTCACTGTCATATTTAATTTATTACTTCTGTGACTTTTGTCAATGCTGAAACTGTCTAAGGATAGTTGGTACTATAAACCTTAAATATTGGTTAGTGTATGTGTGTGTATATATGCCATACTGAAATTTAAGAATCAAACAGTACTGCTCAGTATTAAAATCATTTTTTTTTTTGTTTTGCTTGGCTCATAACACTGCAGAGGGAAATTCCATCACACTGAATTTAAAGATTAAAAAAAAAAAGCATTTTTCATTTTATATATATATATATATATATATATATATATATATATATATATATATATACACCATATATACTCGTGTATCATGCAACTTTTGAAGACCTAATTTTAAGGTGGTCGCATCATAAGATATAAGATTAGTGTATATTCTGCTGACCCTGATTATGCCATTGATCAAACTACGTATTCATTTACTGCAGTCAAATTAACTTCAAAATTAGGTTTTTAGAGGTCACATGTTATGCAAGTACATACAGTGTATATATATATATATATATATATATATAATGACTTATCACTCAGTATCTCATGAGTCAGGTACTATAATACAAAGAACTCCAGTTATGTCCCCCCTCTCCATTTGTTATCCAAACAATTTTAAATATTAAAGATTGCACCTTGGGATTTTACTCTTGGTTTCTGTCTTCTGGCAGTTGATGGTTAGTTCTTTCTTCTCACTTTCCTTTACTACCTTGTCTAGGTGATTCGGTAGTTTTCTGCCATCAACACAATGTCATCTCTTTCTTAGCACTTTATTTAGCTTTTGGAATACATCTTTCACTAATCCAATGAGCATTCGGATTTCGGTGTTTCATTTTCCATCGTCTATTAAAACACTTCCCAGATATTTAAACTTCTGCACCTGTTTAATATAAACATCTACAATTCATAGTTTCCACCGTGCACCTTTTGTTGACAACCATGCAGCCATGTTTTCTTATAATTAATCATTTCTTCCCTCTTCCCTTTGCTATATTTTCTAGGAGGTTATGCAGTTTTCCTTCTGTCTCATCTGCGTATCTTA